CTCTTACCGCCCCCTTTAGGCCTGTGGCGCCCAAAAAGGGGCGTTATCGCCCACTTTGGGAATGGCTCAATGATTTTGTAGGTATTAAGAAGAAGACATCAAACAAAAGTACACAATTAAGCTTATACGTTGACCAGAGTCTTGTTCTTCTTCTTCTTCTTAGTCGAATACTTCATTGCTGAAGGTCGTGTCCTTGAAAGCCCTTCGTGGCTCTTTGTACCCTCAGCAGCTTCCATTTGCTTCGGTTTTCGGCTTCTCTCAAGGCGTTCGCAACAGAGAGTCCAGTGAGCGCAGTTATCTGATCCGTCCAACGGCATGGTGGCCGGCCAGAGTAAAGAATTGTAATAAATGAGCGACAACACTGTGTGGTGACAAATAATTACGTACATCCAAAAGAGACGGACACGATTGTAGGTCACGTCGAGAACAATAGGTAAAGCGAGCGCAATGCATTGTTTTATAAATTCGATTATGCTCTGCAATGTCACAGAAAAATAAACCTTCACTCGCTTATGATATTGTAATTTTGTAGCCTCTCATGCTGGTGGTGCGACGTGGTAAATTATGTTCGTAATAAAAACTCATCACAGGAAAATTAATTGGTTGTCTGTAAAGTCCAATACCTTTTAGAGTATTGAGCGGTAGGCAGCGGCTTGGCTCTGCCCCTGGCATTGCTGAAGTCCATGGGCGACTGTAACCACTCACAAGCAGGTGGGCCGTATGCTCGTCTGCCTACAAGGGCAATAAAAAAAAAAGGCTGCTTACGGACGACAGTTTTTTTTTTTTGCTTAGAAGGATGGACGAGCCCACCTGGTTTTAAGTGATTACTGGAGCCCATAGACATCTACAACGTAAATGCGCCACCCACCTCGAGATATAAGTTCTAAGATCTCAGTATAGTTACAACGGCTACCCCACCCTTCGAACCGAAACGCATTACTGCTTCACGGCGGAAATAGGCGGGGTGGTGGTACCTACCCTTGCGGACTCCCAAGAGGTCCTACCACCAGTGATTACGCAAATTATAATTTTGCGGGTTTGATTTTTATTACACGATGTTATTCCTTCACCGTGGAAGTCATTCGTGAACAATTGTTAAGTACGTATTTCATTAGAAAAATTGGTACTCGCCTGCGGGATTCGAACACCGGTGCATCGCTACATACGAATGCACCGGACGTCTTATCCTTTAGGCCACGATGACTTACTAATAACGTCGGTAGCAGAACTATTCGAACTGCTAGCTCTGAAGTCACGCGAGAAGAGAGATAAATGTGTCACAAGCCAACGCTTGAGTCGATCGTGCCTATCTATCGCTTGTACCGCGCTTCCTTTTTTTTTGCTGCCTAATCTAATTTGAGAGGCCATTCCAGCGTAACCCCTAACAAGTGAGCTCACGGGGCTCAAACCTGACGACGTTGCTAACACTAACCCTAGCAAGAGCAGTGCTTCGCAGAATCTACCACCAGATCGGAAACGCGACCCACTGAGAAGATCCGACGAGAAACTCAGTGGGCTGCGTCTGTGGGTTAATTTACTCGTCGAGTCCTTCGTCGCAAGCGACGGGTTCGACGAGAACGATGACCGGTGCTTGAGGCACCTAAAAGCACCGTTAGTGGATCGGGAGGATCTGAGATGACGGCCGCGCTCACGCTTGCACGCTCAGGTTCAGGCGGAACGTGATACTTTTTCGTGCGTGCAGCCGCTGTTCATCGATTTATAAAACGTTATCACGTCAAAAATGAAACTGATAACGAATATCGGTCATTAATAATTTTATAATTGCTCATTATACGAATAAGCTTCGGATATATGAAATTAGTATTAGCATTTGTTTGACGCAGGAGGTTTGGCCGCCGGCCCGAAAAAAAAGGGCATGTCCATCTTCAAAAATGTGCAGTCAGAGACAGCGGTTTGGCTGTGCTCCGACTTTGCGACGTTGTTTAACAAATGGCCGTAAGTTTGTCTAAGTTCGATTAGCTATAAAAAAAAGGAATTGTTCACATTTCAATATTTCTCTTCTTTTTCTCCACCTTATCCCACTAGGTGGGGTCGGCACAGAGAGAGTCGGCAAGAGAAAAATTAGTTCTCTTCCATTCTCTTCTATCAGCCGTCTTCTCAACATTCACTCCTCTCTCTCTCTTTCTCTCATATAGTCATTCACTCCATCCATGTCTTCTTTGGTCGACCTCTTCCCCCTCTACACATGCATCTGCTCTCTACGCATCACATGTCCATACCACGCTAACCGTCCGCTCTTTGATTTGTTGATTACCGGGGCTACTTTCACACTTCCACACATCACTTCAATACATGTGATATAATCAACAATCCGAATACATAATAATAAACAGTGCTAGGTATTTCAAACGGGTTTGTCAGATTGACAAGACCTTTAAACAATGTGTTTGGATGTGAACGGCGTGACTAAATAAACGATGTTCGATCGAAGAACATTGTCTGTGTTTTAATGCACTAGAGAAAACAATAAGGAAAACGATGTAGCAATAGGGAATTTCTTGTCAACATCGAAAACATACTACGGAAATTACGTGTTTAAGGTATGTGTATATTTGCGTGGAAATATCGAGGCGTAAAAAAAATATATCTGTACTATGGCAAAGTCCAGGGAGGTTTATGATTTTAGCGGTATGAAGTCGAAGCTTCAACTGTATAACGGCTGTCTCAGGCTTTAAATTCACGGCAGAAGGACGGTAGTAATAATCCGTGAGGGCTCAATACAGGCCGGTTTCCGTTCATCCTTAAGCAACCACAGTGTATTACGCAAATGGTAAAAATTATCGGATTTCATGTTACGCGATGTTTTTTTTCGTCGTGACGGTAGTTGGTGACCTTACTCCGTTGTGTATTTGTCCGGCAAAGAACATCTAGATTTTATTTAATATTAACTATTGTTAATATTTTTTGTGTTCTGTATACTTTTGTGTAATTAATAAAATTTTGGTAGTATTTGCTTTCTTTTTCATTATTTTAAACCCAAAGCTCACGATCAGCCATTCAACATAAGGTACTGAACTGTTTTGCCTTTGCCTTAATTCAATGCCGATTTACCAGTAATTTAAATGAGTCGTCACAAGATAGGAGTCGCAGCGAACAACGGTAACAAGTATTCGTAAAACAAGCTATGAATCATTTGGCTTTACGCATGCGGCGTTACAAGCTTTTACAAAATACAAAATATTAACTGTACAGGAAAATGTGTATAAAAATTTAATAACTATGAAATAACATAGTTCAGCGGTGGGATTACGGTGTGCCGCAAATGAATCACGCGTTTCGAAGGGTTTAAGTCTTGTTCTAATGAAATTGAATATTGATTCGTGTCTTTAGGCTACGTTCATAATAGTAAATTTATGCTCCTAGATCTTGAGGATTTGAATTGATTGTAAGAATTGATTGCAGGCTAGTCAAAGACCGTTATACTCGTATTTTGGTTCACATATTCAAAAACGCGATAAATCTTGCTAGATTTTTTTTTTATATTGCTTAGATGGATGGACTTGAGATATAAGTTCTAAGGTCTCAAGTATGGTTACAACGGCTGTCCCACCCTTCAAACCGAAACGCATTACTGCTTCACGGCAGAAATAGTCAGGGTGGTGGTACCTACCCGCGCGGACTCACAAGAGGTCAGTCAATACAAAACAGAGTAATGTCATCAACTACCTACACGACGAAAAAATAACATCGTGTAAACAGGAAATCCGAAAAATTTTAGAGCTTGCGTAATTTTTGTTTTTTTTTTTTATTGCTTAGATTGGTGGACGAGCTCACAGCCCACCTGTTGTTAAGTGGTTACTGGAGCCCATAGACATCTACAACGTAAATGCGCCACCTACCTTGAGATATGAGTTCTAAGGTCTTAGATATAGTTACAACGACTGCCCCACCCTTCAAACCGAAACGCATTACTGCTTCACGGCAGAAATAGTCAGGGTGGTGGTACCTACCCGCGCGGACTCACAAGAGGTCCTACCACCAGTGTTCGAATTAAAGTATGTTTATGTTTAATGATTAACTTGTGCATCTTACCATGTTTGACGTACGGTTGCCAAACAAGGGGTATTAACCGAAAAATTAATAAATAAAATACATGTATATCAGAACAGCATAGATAGAGGTGCCACTGGTGTCAAGAGAAGAGATGGTCAGAAATAAGGAGATTCACTGAATTTAAAAACGCAACCAAATAACTAGAACGCCGAAGTGGAGATGGACAGGACATATCTTAAGAGAGAATACGAAAAATGGACTAAAATAATTACAGAGTGGTACCCACGGGACGGCTATAGAATAAAAGGAAGGTAGTCAAAACGTTGGGAAGACGAAATAAAGAATATAACTGGCCTACATTGGAGTCGAATGGCCCAAAATAGACAATATTGGAAATCTTTAGAGGAGGCCTTTGTCGCGCTGGCATGCTGTTTTGAAAACCACACCGAATGTCAACCGGAATACTTATTTATAAGTTGTATTTAAATTTAAGTTATTATTAAATAATTTATTAAGTTATTAATTATTAAGTAAAAGGGAAATAAAGACATATTTTATTTTTATTATGTTTAATGACATCTAAAAAAATGTGCAAAAGTTTCTAACCCTAAGTTTCTTTCATTTACTGATGGTAGGACCTCTTATGAGTCCGCGCGGGTACGTACCACCACCCTGCCTATTTCTGTAGTGAAGCAGTAATGCGTTTCTGTTTAAAGGATGGGGCAGCCGTTGTAACTATACTTGAGACCTTAGAACTTATATCTCAAGGTGGGTGGCGCATTTACGTTGTAGATGTCTATGGGCTCCAGTAACCACTTAACACCAGGTGGGCTGTGAGCTCATCCACCCATCTAAGCAATAAAAAAAACATCTTCCTATAGACCATCCTCAATGGAATGGCCGACCAATATTGCCATGGATATAGTACGAGTGATTCTCCTCTGAATGTTTTATTAATTCTCATTCCCGTTTTCCAATTGTTGCAGTGTTGGATCAAGGCGAAGCTAGGCCAGTTAAAGTGAGCGGCGTCGAACAATCACACAGCAGACAGCAAACAACAATAGAATACATACCCGAAGATGAAGAGGTACGTGTATTGTAAACTTTTTTACTAACCTTTGTTGATCACACCTTAAGCTAAGTAAAATGACGACAAAGTAGACGTACATATTGTCGTCTTCTCGCATTAAAACTGTATTATCTCAAAACTTACTAATTTTACAGGAGAGTATTTTAAAGGTTTGACATGTGATATTTTTAATATTAATCATCTTTGCGAAATTTCTTTTTTTACCAGTTACATTATCTGTCTTTTAAAGTAATATAAAATTATGTATTAATTTAGTTAATTGTAGTCAAAACATAGGTAAACTAAAAAAACTAAAACTAAACTACGCTCTTTTGGCAGTATTTATGAGATAAATACTGGTGATACCAAATGATTCCGCCTATTAACTCAATTTCGAATATTTTTGGAAATTGTACACTTTTAATGCGAAAAGGCGATATGTAACTGGAACTGAATATTCGTTCAGAAATATGTCTAATAGCGTTATTTGTCGGTTAAATTGTGTTCACGTCGGTAATATTGATTTTGGAAGCTGGAAGCTGAGTTTCCGATGATGTCAACAATCTAGTTTTGAATAACACGCAAACCGGACGTTGAACGCTTGATTGCACGTTCACATGGTATATTTAACAATTGCGTATTTAGCTTACAGCGACTAGACGTAAGAGATCGATACGTCTAGCCTTTATATTTTATTGTCTGTACGTCGCGTCGGAGCAGATTACTATGTCGTCTAGATATACTTAGATTGGTCGACGATTATAGGGTTCATCCCAATTGTCCGTTTTTTATTAAACAACGATTCACGGCTAGCCTCTTCGGTGGCTATTTCCTATTACTAGTAGTCCCGCAATAGTCGAAATTCGACCATAATTAATCGAAATTTCACTTGTACACTATTATGATTCTATTGTTAAAGAATATTATACTTCTATAACTACAGGGCTCGCCAAAACTACACTTTATTGTCCTTGACAATAGAATGATAATAGTGTACAAATTTATAATTCCCATTAGTTATAGTCGAATTTCGACTACCAGGGGACCACTAGTATTCTCAATTTGACCACAGGCTTATAAGCAATAAGAAAATATTTTGTACCGTATGTTCCATGGGGAGTGCTCTGAGGAATTGTTCGAGATGATACCGGCATCTCGTTTTTACCATCGCACCGCCCGCCACCGGAGTAGAGTTCATCTATACTACCTGGAGCCACTGCGGTCATGCACAGTGCGTTTCCAGAGGTCTTTTTTGCCACGTACCATCCGGCTATGGAATGAGCTCCCCTCCACGGTGTTTCCCGAGCGCTATGACATGTCCTTCTTCAAACGAGGCTTGTGGAGAGTATTAAGCGGTAGGCAGCGGCTTAGCTCTGCCCCTGGCATTGCTGAAGTCCATGGGCGACGGTAACCACTCACCATCAGGTGGGCCGTATGCTCGTCTGCCTACAAGGGCAATAAAAAAAAAAAGAAGATAATTTGACAGTAAACAAATAGTATGCATGCGCGTGTGTGTTAAACACATGGTAGTGCGTGTAATGTTTTCTTTATTGATTTAATGTATTTTTAATGTATAATTAAAAAAAAAAATTAGCATTCAGCACTTTTTCTCTATATTCTTTATAAGTGTGGGAAATTTCATACTCATAGGTCCGCGCAATTTTCGTAAAAAGGGGTTCAAAGTTTTTGCTTCACGTATTAATATATGTATAGATTACCACAAACAATCCACGTTCGTCCCGCTCCTGTTCACAGCTCATCACAAAGAACGCGTCACTTTCATTCATTCATGGTATCTGTCTAAAAACTGAATGAAATCTAAACACGACTTTTGTATGTTTTTCTGTATTTGTGCACGCTAATCTCCGCAATCACTGAACTAATTGCGGTTGTTTTATCTTCTATATATAGAATTGAGATAAGATTCGTCTGATGATGATGATGATGAGATATATTTGTGCCATTGACAAATAATGCGTTTGCATTAATGTACTAGCTAAAAGGCAAATAATAGTAATAAACGAAGTAAAGTAACGGAGAATTTCAATCGTTTATGAATATACAGCTTAGGTTTAAATTATCGTATAAAATATTTATTATTATTATTTTACGCCTTTTAATTAGTACCTATGTTTGATGCAGTCGGGTGCTTTTTTTAATTAGTAATTTATTTTGATTTTTTTTTACTATTTTCAATAGTTTTTTTTTCCTTTCCGGATCCCATTCCATATGTACTCTATGTTACTCCATATCTATGTTACTGCATACGTTGAAAACCATCAAAAAATTTAGACTACATAGATCGTGCAAAAGAAACAAACATGCACACATTAAAAACACTTCCTTTCTTCGGTTATAAAAAAGACGTTAACTTCAAAACGTATGAAATTGCCGGCCGATACAAATGTTTATTTTAGAAAAATAAAAAAAAGAACATTCCACCTCCTTTTCCTTAAGCACTAGCTAGCCACTAAACACGTTTGTGTTTTGTTAACTATTCTTCAGATCTACTTGCGGTTTTGGTAGGTAGCGGCTTGGCTCTGCCCCTGGCATTGCTGAAGTCCATGGGCGACGGTAACCACTCACCATCAGGTGGGCCGTATGCTCGTCTGCCTACAATGGCAATAAAAAAAAAACCTAAATCGGTGCTTCACTGCTCCCTCGTTTTATTGTCGTGTGCTGATGCGTTTTAAACGGTCGTCTGGTGTAGTGGTAAGTGACATGGTCACTACACAAGGGGGTCGCGGGTTCGAATCCCGCCAAAGGAAGATATTTGTATGATAAATATAAATGTCTTTCCAGGGTTATGGGTGTATATTAAATATATGTATGTGTATAATAAAAATATTATATTTATTTCCGTTATCTGGTACTTGTAACACCAGTTCTTTACGAACTTAGCACGGGACCAGTTAACGTGGCGTTGATTGTTAGTAAATATTTATATTTATTTATATATTATATTAATGAGTTGCCGTGGTAATGTTTTAGTAATCGCAATTCGTGATTGTGCAAACGGACCTCGTGGCTCGAGGTCGCCGGGAATGCCAACGAAATCACGTCTCCGACGCCTTAATCCGCGCTCTGCATAAATTTACTTTTACTAGAAAAAAAAAAACACTTTCTACACTTGCACACGAACGCTGTACACGTTCGAATACAATCGAGAAATCTTTACGGCCATTTGGCGCTAAGCGGACACGATGAAGGTTTTCGTGAAAATCAAACTATAAAAACGTTGTGTATTTTTTAATACGCTTTTATTAGGCTTTCAGACGTATGTATGTTTGTAACGGAATCTTTGAACATGATTTTGACCCCCTTCAAAACGTCGGATTAACTCGAAGTTTGGTATACTTATTAATGACCGATGACAGTTCCATACCATGCACCCCATGCTTTTTTACAATAAAATCATTTTATCTTACACTATTTTCAATTCGAATTTATTAAAATTTATTGTCTATTTTTTAGTTGGATTTTCTATAAAAGCGTATTTTATTAGTTTTTTTTACTATTATTTATTAAAAAAATAAAAAAGCTATGCTATTCATTATTAAAAATCCTAAAAATATTACTAATGCGCTCAGAAACTACCAAAGTTTATTCAGTTTTAGTTTCATCAAACAAAGACTTGTGAGGTATATTATTCTTAAAACTAGGGCAGATTCACAAAGTAGACAAGGTTAATTTGACAATGTCAACTAGGTTTACCTGAAAATAATTATTTTTAGACCAAACCATTATATTATACTTATCTATGAAAAAAAAAAAAAGAATTTTTATTGCTTAGGTGGGTGGACGAGCTCACGGCCCACCTGGTGCTAAGTGGTTACCGGAGCCCATAGGCATCTACAACGTAAATGCCGCCACCCACCTTGAGATATGAGTTCTAAGATCTCAGTATAGTTAGAACGGCTACCTCACCCTTCAAACCGAAACGCATTACTGCTTCACGGAAGAAATGGGCAGGGTGGCGGTACCTACCCGTGCGGACTTACAAGATGTCCTACCACCAGTAATTACGTGAACATTTGTTAAGTAGGTAGGTATTTCATTAGAAAAATTGGTACCCGCCTGCGGGATTCGAACACCGGTGCATCGCTACATAGTTACATACGAATGCACCGGACCTCTTATCCTTTAGGCCACGACGTCTACAAATTCTCATAATCATAACATAATCTCTATTAAAAGTTTATAGATTGGTTATTGTATTAAAATCGATTGGAATCTCTGGGTCTGCGGAGGGACTTCGGTTCCCTCTGTATTTTGTACCGTATGTTCCATGGGGAGTGCTCTGAGGAATTGTTCGAGATGATACCGGTATCTCGTTTTTACCATCGCACCGCCCGCCACCAGAGTAGAGTTCATCCGTACTACCTGGAGCCACTGCGGTCATCCACAGTGCGTTTCCAGAGGTCTTTTTTGCCACGTACCATCCGGCTATGGAATGAGCTCACGGTGTTTCCCGAGCGCTACGACATGTCCTTCTTCAAACGAGGCTTGGGGAGAGTATTAAGCGGTAGGCAGCGGCCTGGCTCTGCCCCTGGCATTGCTGAAGTCCATGGGCGACGGTAACCACTCACCATCAGGTGGGCCGTCTACCTACAAGGGAAATAAAAAAAAAACATTGTCATTTATTAATTTTACTCGGATACAAATGTTCTTTAAATATATATTTATTGTTATCGAATACTTAGGGAAGAGCGCGCCGCTTAATACAGTTTGTTTACAAAACGTACATAAATGTTTTAATTTTATTGGAAGCAGCGTATGAAGGAACGCTAGGCGGTCTGCCAACATCACATCCACATACTTTTCTGTTTTACAGAATCGAAAAATGTTGTACCTAAAGGAAGTTTATGAAACTGTGTTAATAGATGGTATTGTATTTATCCTTGAATTGTAAATCGAATTGTATTTATTGAATAAGTTAAATAGACAAACGAACAAGTGGGCCTGTCTGTAATACTACAGTTTTGTATCCTGATCATACAGGAGCCAGTCACCGTCGG